GAAACAGAGAGATAGAGAAGGGAGAGAGAGAAGAGAGAAGAAGAGAAGAGATGTTTCTGTCTGTTTCTGTCTCTCTGTCTTCCTTGGCCCTCTCTGTCTCTCTGTCGCCTCTGTGTTGCGTATGTATATCTGTGCGTATGTGTGTCTGTCTGTCTCTTCACGTCTCTTATCGCTCTTCTTCACACTCTTCGTAAATCTCCCCTTACTCCCTCTTTTATTACAACTTCTCTCTCTCTCTCTCTCTTCTCTCAATGCCCTTTTTTTATTTCTCTCTACTTCTCCAACCATCCCTTTACCCAATCTCCGCCTTCGCCTCTTTTCTCCTCTTTCCCCTCTTTCCCTTTCATCCCCTCTCCTCTTTCCCCCTTCTCTTTCCCTCTCTTCCCCTTCCGATTATCGACAAACCGTTCTTCTTCCATGCTTCCATCGCCACTCCCTGCCCGCGCGCGCCCTTCGCCCAACACCTCATCATTTCCCGGAGTCATTAGCCCGGTCTTTATCACTCCGGCGTGACACCTGGAAGCGCCTGGGGAGGGGGGGGGGGGGAGGAGGGAGGATGGGGAGGGGGAAGTGGTGGTGGGGGGAGGGGAGAATGAAGAGGAGGAGAGAGGAGGAGGAGGGTGGGGTGGTGGAGAATGGAGGAGGAGGGGGCAAAGGAGGGGTGGTGGTGGTGGTGGTGGTGGGGGTGGTGGAGGAAGAGGAGGAAGAGGTGGTGGAGGAGGAGGTGGAGGTGGTGGAGAGGAAGAGAAGGGGGTGGTGGAAGGAGCAGGAGGTAGCGAGAAACTGAGGAGAGGGGAAAGGTGGAAGAAAGGAGGAAGGAAGAAGGATAAGTGACAGGAAGGAAAAATGCGTAGGAGCGAAAGAGAGAAAGAAGAGAGAGGGAGGAAAGAGTGGAAGGAGAAGAAGAAGGGAAGGAAAAGAGAAGAAAAAAGGAAGAGAAGGAGACGGAAAAAGAGAGAGGTCAGAGTCGCGGCCTGGGGGCGTGAGTGCCTACGAAGGATCCGAGTGCCAGGGCCGCTCCATCCCCCGTGGCACTCTCTTATCACTCATTTGCAAGCCCGAATGTGTGCTGAGGTTCGGACCGCAGCCTACATTGCCTTACTTTCTCTCTTGCTTTTCTCTTGGCTCTGTTGCTGTGCCTGCTTCGGTCTGTCTCTTTGTCTTATCTGACACTATCTTTGTTGCTCTTTCTCTTTCTCTCTCTCTCTATTTATCTATCTATCTATCTCTATCTCTTCTCTCTCTCTATCTCCCCCCTCTCTTCTTTCTTTCTTTCTTCCTCTCCTCTCTCTGTCCAGTCAAAGTCTGTCCCCCTTCTCTCTGTTCTGTCTGTCTCTCTCTGTCTCCTGTCTGTCTGTGTCTGTCTGTCTCTGTCTGTCTGTCTGTCTGTCCTGTCTCTCTCTCTCTCTCTCTCTCTCTCTCTCTTCTGTATATATGTCTTGTCTGCTCCAGCCTGGGAGCAGGAGAGGGAGAGGGAGAGGAGAGAGGTAGAGGGAGAGAACGAGTAAGAAAGAGAAGAGAGAATGAGAGAGAGAATAAAAAAAGTGAAGAGAGAGATAGAGAGAGAGAGAGACGAAAGAGAAAGAGAAGAGAGAGAGAGAACAAAAAATCAAAAAGAAAAGAAAGAGAGAGAGAGAGAAACCAAAGACACTGCAAATAAGGGAATAAAACCGATCGAGTGTTTACGCGGCGCCGGCATCTTCCAGCAAACACGGTCTGCATTTGACAAAGGGTTTATCTCCCTCGCGTTAGAACAAGGACACCAACCACCACAACAGAGGGACAGAGTTTTGCAACATCGATTACAGTGCATGAGTGTCCTCTTGCACTGTTTTATTGCGGGATCTTGCAATTTAATAAGGAACGGGATTGCAACACGTACTGGAGGTACTTTAGACTTGGAGTTCTTCATAGTACGTCGGAATTCCAAGCTGTGGCAGATGCTTTTCCAAGAGAAGGCTTCTTTCTTCTTATGGCTCTCGTGATCCTCTCTCTCTCTCTTTCTCTTTCTCCCCGCTTTCTCGCTGCATCTGTTTGTCATCACACACACCACGCACACACACACACACACACACACACACACACACACACACACACATATATCATATATATATAATATATATATATATATATATTATATATATATATATATATATATATATATATATATATATATATATAATATACTATATATATATATATATATTCATATATATATATATATATTATATATATATATAATATATATATATATATATATATATATATATATATATATATATATATATATATTATATATATTATATAATATATATATATATATATATCATATATTATATATATATACATATATATCATATATGGAATCCATACATAAAATATGCAGAGATGCACACATGCACTCATACAACACACATACACACGTCCATGCACAACTACAACGCGTACCGTCTGTGTATGCATGCGCGCGCGTGTGCTGGCAAAATAGGGAAGTAGGTAAGTAAACATACGAGTATACGTGTATGAATATGCATGTCGTATGCAAAGTATGCATATATGTAAAGTGTGTAGTTCCACTCTCACTCGCAGAGACAGAGAGAGACGGCGGGAGAGAGAGAGAGGAGAGAGAGAGAGAGAGGAGGAGAGAGAGGAGAGAGAGAGAGAGGAGAGAGAGGGAGAGAGAGGAGAGAGAGAGAGGAGAGAGAGAGAGAGAGAGAGAGAGAGAGAGAGAGAGAGAGAAGAGAAGAGAGAGAGAGAGAGAGAGAGAGAGAGAGAGAGAGAGAGAGGAGAGGGAGAGGAGAGAGGGAGAGAGGAGAGGGAGAGAAGAGAGAGAGAGAGAGGAGAGAGAGGAGAGAGAGAGAGAGGAGAGAAGAGAGAGAGAAGAGAGAGAGACAGAGAGAGAGAGAGAATATGTTACGAGTTTAAGGTCCCTCAATAAATCTGGAGATATCGACATCTCAGTCTTCCCCGACGCCACGCCGACATCCCCCCCCCCCCACCCCCTCCTCCAACCTCATGCAAGCAAGCAGCGGCGATAAGGTCAGGTCGCCACGTCGATAAGTTCACCCCAACCTCTCCTTCGTGTCCTTCCTGCCCAATTCCTGTTCGATTCCTATTCCTACGACCTTGTTTTTCTCATGCGGGGGAATCCTTGCGACTTGGGAGATAAAAACAAACGTCCTTTTTTGTCTCAGCGAAGAAAGTATTGCGAAATTAATTTCTGGCGACTGAATGGCATGGTGGCGGCAAATATTTGTGATGATATGATCTTAAGACTTTAAGTTGGGCGGGACGAGAGGGAGGAGAAGGAGGAAGAGGGAGGGAAGAGGACGAGAGGGAGGAGGAGGAGGGAGGAAAAGGGGGGGGAGAGGGGGGGGAGGGGGGGTTGGGGGTAAGAGGGTGCCTTCTACATTTCAGGACATTGATACTGAGGTGTTGATATCATGGGACCACACGCTTCCTCTCCTTCAACTCTTCAGGCCTCAAGATGAAAGCCAAGAACAAGAGGGATTCCGAACTGTTGGCTCAATCTTCCCACAAACATATTTTGTGTATACTTTTTTCCTGCCATTTCATCACAGTGGAAGAATATTTGTCATTTAACCATGAATATTCCCTCGTGTCTTTTACGAACACTGAATTGGGAATTCACTAATACGTTTCTTACTTCGTAAAAAAAAAAAATAAAATAACAAAAAACAACGAATGAGGCAACCGGCAATATAATTTAAACAACAGAAGAAACTTTCGAGTTATGACGAATTCGAAAACCCACCTCATTTGCAATTTCCGCCAAAAAGTAGACCAGATGCACGGAAACTACAACGAGTGTGATAATGATACTCGTAGACAATTAGCAAGAAGAAAAAGAGTATAGTAATTATTAACCTCGCGGTCACTCGCCTTTCCCGCCATCGCGCACTGGACACGTTTTATGGCGAAAGTAAAACCAACTTAAAAACCACAAGAGGAATTCGTTCTCCGCGACTTGAATGTTCTCGGTGAAAGATCAAAATTTATTGGTGCAATTACTATTACTCAAGTCTGGTTTATAGTCAACAGGAACTCTTAAAATTTTATCAAATCACATCACAGATTGGCGCCATCTGCTGTGTATACGATCAAACGTGCGTGAAAAAATTGACATTATTATTAAATAGTTATATCTATATTTTGGTATAATAATTTCCTTTTCTTAAAGACAATCCGTATTTATTGATAACATTACAAACTCACAAACATATCTTTCGAAAGTGCGAGAGAAAAATAAATAAAATATTGGGTCTCGTCTAATCATCGGTTTTATTTGACCACGTTTCATTTCTCAATAACCACGATTTGAACTAATTGCATTCGTTAACCCGTGTGTGTGTGTGTGTGTGTGTGTGTGTGTGTGTGTGTGTGTGTGTGTGTGTGTGTGTGTGTGTATATATATATATATTATATATATATATATATATATATATATATATATATATATATATATATATATATATATATATATATATATATATATGCACACACACACACAGCACACACACACGGCACACACACACACACACACATCCTCAAGAAAAGAAAACTTACAGCAAAATTTGTAAAGTGAGCCACAACAAAACACAAACGGAGAAACGAACGCGGTGTGTCTACTCGAACGCCCGTAACAAATGGCATCACTCACTCCAAACGAGCAACTGAAACGGATTCTCGTAAATCATGTCTGAATCTAATCGGTAGAGCATATCCGATTTCCAAACATTTATAAATCAGAAGACACTGACAGTTTGTCGGTACGTATACATGTGTACGAGTCAAACGCAACACAAGAAGTTAGCAGCGTTCAAAAGGTCGACCTAATATTGCATACTAATAGTTTGCTATATCTACGAACACCTCTACATATACATCCAAATATTTCTGGAAACAGGTATGCATTTGTAAGTGCCAAAGATACGCCCATGTGGTTGTTAATTCGAGAACATTCGGCCTCTGGTACTTACGTGAAGTGCCTGGTATCGGGTACATCGCGGTTGGAGGCCAGCTTGTCGCTCTCGGCCTGGTTAAACTTGTTCCTGGTGTAGGCGTCCGCGCCGGGAGCCAGCGTGGCGGCGGCGATGTAGGCCTCCTCGTCCAGGAACATTGACGGACGTAGGCCTACGCTGGAGCTACCTCCCCCTGCGGCCCCCGCCCCCGCCGCCGCCTTGGAGAAGGCTTGCCCTTGCTGCGCGGTCACGGCGGAGTCCTTCAAGCGCAGCGCCAGGTTCTCAGAGCCCTAGGGGGGAGAAAGAAAGAAGTGTGTAATGGCGAATGAATTCTGCATAAAAACCTGCATTGGATTTCACTCGGTATAGAATTTCAGAGCAGCCCCAGCGGCCCACCGACGCTCTCCGCCCCGCCTCTGTGGACGCGGCTTCCGGAGGTGACCCGGTCCACGGCACGCGACAAGAGGCCATCCGAGTTTGATAACAAGCAATTTTCTGAGGAACGACCTCCTCCTACAGCAGTTGTGGCGTGGTCAGGTAATGCCATCGTAATAAATTCACAAAGCTTCCCTCGTAATTCTCGTACATCAGTTGTCTCGCGGACAACGACGCACCTTGCAAACTGGTTCGAAAATTGATATAGGAAAAATACAGTATATACACACAATGCCTTCGTTTTGCCGTTGTTGAATCGTTTTCGTCCGGACAAAAATCACCCATATTTTCTCCGCTATATTCGTTCCTGAATTTTTCAACCGACGTGCCTTTACTTGAAGACAATATCACCTGGACAAAGAACACTCGTAACTTGAAGAGTTCACGGGCGATAAATTTTCATTTCAGCAGTTATAAAGACTTTCCTCTCATATTTCTAATGGCGAACTCTTTCTTATCGATTTATTCTACGCCACAACCTTTAAACGAGAAAGTTCTACAACTGCTTGGTTTTGGTCATGCGAATTTCTGTGTAAACCATAGCACGTTACTGGATAATTCTTAGTATTGTTATTGTATAGTACCGTAAGTGTGGCTACAGGGCGGGTGAGGGTAAGTTCTAATCAATACTGCTACTTTCCATGCATAATTAAAACAGAATAGGATTCTAATGTTGTTACAATTTGTAGTTGGAATAATTCGTGGCTAGTTCGTGAAACTCAGAGGTTTGACATCGAGAGATTAAACAGGGGCTATTTCGAGTGCAATTGGCAACACACATTCTAGTATTATCCTATTCTGTTCTCCCTCTTCTCACCGCATTTCGTGTCTCCCACTTCAGGGTAGTGTGCAGGATTTATAGAAGGGTGGATGCAGGATTTAAAGATAGGTGAAGAAAAATCATAACTTTTAATATTTCATCAGATATACGTATTTAAACTAAGAACTGAACGGGCGTGAACGGCACCAGCTGCTGATTCCCGCTGCCTGTAATTATCTGCCAACATTTTAAACTTTTCCCCAATGGGAGTCAACTGGCTGAGCGCACGGTTCTGTCCCATTCGTTCTCTCGCTTTTCATCTCTTCTTAGTCCCGTTTCAGACGCATCGGTCTTTTGCGGCCGATGTGATGGCCACAGCGGACGCCGTTAATCGCACGAGTTATTACAGGTTTCTTTCGAACTCAGATTTTTCACCGTCCCCACGACGGCCGTGACGGTTATATTTAGAAGCAAGTGCCTCGTGTCGTCCACGGCGGATGGCGAAAAATCGATGCGTCTCTGAAACAGGTCGCAGCCCTATCCACTTTTCACGAAGTGGGCGCTAAAAGCCCTGCCGCGTGGAGAAGTGGTCGTGACTACGGAGGTCGTGAAAGGCGTTTTGCCATTCTCGGTGCGTGTTTACACATCCGTAAACAATGTCGACATATCTGACCCAACGCTGCTATGAATTATCCATGACATACCCTCATAAATCGCAGTTCTGTCGGCAGAGTTTGAATAAAACATACAACCTATCAAATGATCATTATTTAGCAGGTAACAAAATGTGGCATTTGTTCATATCAAGTCAAAAAACAGTCTTCGCTTGTTAATATATACCAATATTGCTAATTGCCCATACGCGTACGAAATTTTAGTTATTTACATGATGCGAATTTTACAAGCGACAGAAACATATAGTTCATTCTAAGCTCAAACTTACTGGCGACAATGCAATTTACATATAGCACTAGCATATTCTAAGAAATTCTTGGTAATGCCAGCAAGCAGTGACAAATAACGTATTGACCAGCTCACAACCATCGTAATAATAATCAATACCTACTTCATAATTCGGTCACAAAAACAAATCGGCATATAAAAATCCGCGTTGTCACCAGTGTTTCGGGAATCTAACCGATCCAAACAAACCGGCCGCACGGAGCTTCCACAAACCCCTGTGCCGTGAATGGAAGCCTTCTACCCTCAACCTCAAAACCAGTCCTGCCTCATTCACGGCCTCTCGGAACTCCTCGAGTTGAACAAACATTACAGGAACGGCGCTGTAATCTACACCACAAGGTACAAATACAACGGGATCCCAGCTTGACCCCCCCCCCCCCAAACAACGCTTGGCTGGAGGAACCTCGGCTCATGCTTTCTTCGCTTTGGTTTTGGGTTGAAAGTTCAGGGTGCAGGAAAGGACAAAGAGTGCCTGTATGTTGCTGTTACTGTTGTAGGAAGCCTCTCTCTTTCTCTTTCTCTCTCTCTCTCTCTCTCTCTCTCTCTCTCTCTCTCTCTCTCTCTCTCTCTCTCTCTCTCTCTCTCTCTCTCTTCTCTCTCTCTCTCTCTCGTTGTGTGTGTGGTGCGTGGTAGGTGTAAAAATGTATAATTGTGTAAATGTATAAGTGAATAAGTGTAAGAGTGTATGAGTCCGTAAGTTATATGTGTGTTTGTGTGTGTTTACGTGCATGTAAAGTTTAGAAAGTGGAGAGACGGAAAAATGCATTAACATACGAGTATTATAGGCCTACTTTTCTGCAATTCTGTACACCGACCTTTGATCCTTATTTACGTGACCCACTTACAAAATCAATAGAGAAACAGATGCTATTCCGAAAGGAGGGTTTAATTAACCACACCACGCTGCCAACATAAATTTCCCCATCATCAGCTTCTAATTGCCATATTTTTGAAAACGGGGCATCTGTCTAATTGGAATATAATTATAAATTACATGGCTTTCATTATTTCTTAAATATGCAAGGTGTCTCGTCTTCGTATATACTGCATATAGACACATTAATAAATAAAGAATTGAATATATACTATGTATATATATATATATATATATATATATATATATATATATATATATATACATATATTGTGTGTGTGTGTGATACTATTTAGTATGAAAGGAACATTAGCGCTCTCTAGCGACGGGTATAATCCCTAATTATACATTCCACAAGTGTGTATTACTGGGTGTGTGTGCTTGGGTCAGTGAGAAGCCTCGCGTGAGTTTGTATGCGTGTGTGAATTCACGCGAGTGTATGGCCATGACGCGTGAATATGCTTTGTGTTCTTTCGTGTATAACAAAATACCTGTGCGTGAGAATCAAAGACAAAAAAAAAAAAAAAAAAAAAAAAAAAAAAAAAAAAAACACGGGAAGGGAAAAAGTCTCTCGCGACAAACGCAACTCGAAGACTCCAAACCCCGTCGAGGACCTGATGACAGTCCTTTACAACACTAAGCTCTGTACAAACTCCTCGCGCCCTCGAGCACTCAAAACACACGAACTTTGTTTATTCTTATAGGGGGACAAGGTCTTACATCTTGGGAAACATCCTCCAAATGTACCGAAAAAGATGGCAATGAAATAAACACAGACACACACATACATGCGCAGACAAACAGACACCGGTACACAAACACATACAAAATACATAATACATTCATACCTGCATCCATACATATGCACACACACACACACGCACAAATACATACATACTCTCACAAATACACACACACACACACGCCGCGCACATACACACACACACACACCACACACACACACACACACACACACACACACACACACACACACACACACACACACACATATATATAATATATATATATATATATATATATCCAAAACCTCAGAAACGGAAGGCCCGGCAAATTCGATCAGAGTCTTCGTAAACATACCAGCCACCTATCCTCGTGACGTCACAACTGCACCCAGGGTATTGAGTTACCCGGATGAGAAAGGATACCATGCCAGCTGCACACGGCTGAGTATTATTGGTCTCTGTGTACAGCTTTCAGACTGTGCTTAATGTCCTGTTTGTCATACTCTTCGCTACTTGAAAGGGACAGAGGGGGAGAGAACGAAAATTAGGGGAGAGAGGGGAGAGAACATATTAGGGGAGAGAGGGAGAATGGAGAGGGGGGCAGAACGAAAATTAGGGGAGGAGAGAGAGAATGGAGAGGGAGAGAGAACAAAAATTAGGGGAGGAGAGGGGGAGAGAACAGAAAGTAGGGGAGAGAACAAAAATTAGGGGAGGACAGGGAGAGAGAACAGAAAGTAGGGGAGGAGAGAGAGAGGGGAAGAAAACAGAAAGTAGGGGATGAGAGGAAGAAGGGAAGAGGGGGAGAGAACAGAAAATAGGGGAGGAGAGAGGGAGAACAGCAAGTAGGCAGAAGGGAGAAGGGAGAGGGGGAGAAAACACAAAGCAGGGGAGGAGAGGGTGTGAGGAAGTAGGGGAGGAGAGGGGAGGGGAGAGAACAAGGGAAGAGGAGACGGAATAGAGAGCAAGTAGGGAGGAGAGGGAAAGGGGAGAGAACAAGTAGGGAGAAGGGAGACGGGAATAGAAGAGCAAGTAGGGGGGTAGGTAGAAGGGTGAGGGGGAGAGAACAACAAGTAAGGTAGGAGGGGAGAAGGGAGAGGGGAGAGAACAGAAAGTAAGGGGGGGGGGGCAGAGAACATAGTAATGGGAGGCATGTAGAAGGGAGAGGGGAGACAACCGAAAGTAGGGAAGAAGGGAAGAGAAAAGAAAGTAGGGGGGAGGATAGGGAGAGGGAGAGAACAACAAGTAGGGGAGGAGAGGGAGAAGGGAGAGGGAGAGAACAAAAAGTAGGGAGGGAAATGGAGAGGGGGGAAATATAGAAAGTAGGGAAGAATAGGGAGAGGGGAGGGAATGATGGAAAGGGGTGGATGGTGGGGGAAGAGAGAGAGAGTAAGAAGGGAGAAAGTGGTTGAAGGATACGAGAGAAAGTAGGGAGAGAGGGAGAAGAGAAGGAGAAAGGGATGGAAAGGGAGAGGGGGAGAAGAGGGAGAAGAAAAATGAGAGGGCGAGGGAGGGGCA